TTTTGCATTTAGTTCTTTGATCTGTCTGAATCTTTTCTCTTATACATGATGAGCACCAGCCTATTCTGCACATTGCCTGTAGCGTTTAAAATAGGGATCTATTATAATTTTTCAATTATGAATTATTAATCATTCTAATATTTTTTAATATTCCATTATTTTGCTACAAAATTTATAATGCCACCTTGATCATATTTGTATGTATCTGTGCCTAGCTCTCTATTTTGGTTTACTGGCAGGCTTGCTCATCCTGTTCTATTATCATGGTGCTCTATAGCATCTCTTTATTATAAATTTTGTGTGTTTTTACATCCCCATAATTTATTTATTTTATAACTGGAAGTTTGTACCTTTTGATCCCTTTCACCCATTTTTCCCACTCCTACCCCCCACCTCTAGAAACCACCTATCGCTCCTGTTATCTGGGAGAATAAGTCCCTCTATCTTGTTTTTCTTTATAATTATCGTGACTATTCTTGTTCCTTTAATCTTCATGTGAAGTATAGTTTCTACAGAGCAAGTGTGTTGGGATTTGGTGTGGAATCTCATTGAATTTTTAGATTAATTGTGCCTTTCTTTTTAAATTTTTTTATTGATTAAGTTATTACATATGTGTCCTTATCCCCATGTTATCCCCCATCCCCCCAACTCATGCCCTCACCCCCCTGTTGTCCGTGTCCATTGGTTAGGCCTATCTCTTTTTAACTTTTAATATTGAAGCTTCCCATTCTTAAGAATACTGTATTTTTTATTTAGTTAGTTTTATTTTATGTCTTAGAATAAAGTTTTAGAATTTTCTCTGTAAAGATTTTTGAAGTTTTTTATGTAGATTTTTTTCATTGCTGATAATAGAAACAGTACAATATTGTCTGTTTCTTATGGGAAAAAGGCAGGAAAATTGAGAATGAGGATTCAAAGGGCTCTGAAGAATAAGGGAGGAAAAATTTGTAAGAGCCGTCTAGTTATATATTGATTTTTATGAGGGCTTTGTACTGTGTCAACAGTAGCTAAGCTGGAACTACATTCCCCATAATTTCAATCCCTGTGTACTTCTTGGTTAGAATTGTCCACAGACATTTACATAAGTTTTTTAAAAATATCTTTATTAATTTCAGAAAGGAAGGGAAAAGGAGAGAGAGAGAGATAGAAACATCAATGATGAAAGAGAATCATCAATTGGCTGCATCCTGCACACCCACACCAGGGATTGAGCCTGCAACCCGGGCATGTGCCCTGACCAGGAATCGAACCATTACCTCCTGGTTCATAGGTCAACGCTCAACCACTGAGCCACGCCAGCCGGGCTACATAAGATTTTAAAGGTAAAAGCGCAGTAGTAGTCAATTTTGTGCTTTGAAGCTCAGTGTAGGCAGATGGAGCTCACATTTTCCAGGTGTCTACGGGCTCATTTTGTTGGTTTGGAGCAGAAGGCATTTCCCACTGGATTTCCTCCTTCATCTTCTCCAAATCCTGGGCCAGGTGCACTTACACTGCATAGTGAGCAGCACCAGCTATTCTGCACATTGTCTGTAGGGTTAGAATAGAACGAGTGATAAAGACACACAGTTCCAGTGTGTCTCAGGGGGTTCACTTTGTCCTTTGTCTCTCCCACATCATGTCTATCTTCCCTTTCTGACAGTTGGCCTTGCTGACTTCAGGCCCAGCATGGCATGCAGAAGTAACAGACTAATATATAGATGGCTTAAATAGCTCCCATGATTACAAAGACCTAATCCCTATAATAAATCCTTAGTCTAGATCACTCAGAGTGGTCTGCTTCCTTAATCTAATCCTAACTGATATAATTCCCATTTCCCTAAAGGTCCCAGAGGGAATACCAAGAAAATAGAATAAAGAATATGATTAATTGCATTTGGCCTCAGGGGAAATGGTAGAGTATCTCAGAGAATTCAGGTACGGGATATATAGTTCTTCAGTCAAATGCATAAAGATTGATGGTGTGGAAACAATGGCTCGTGTCAATGGAAAGGAGTCTGAGATGAAGTTTCACAGAGCAGCACAGATCCACAATCAATGAGCAGGAGGCAAATTTGGGAATGCAGAATGCAGAGTTTATTCAGTAATTAATTCTGTTTTTTATTGTTGGTGATTTATTTTAGAAGCACCTTAGTATAATGCTTGGCACAGCATGCACTTGACATTTGTTACTCGACATTTATTTGTGGAATGAATAAAAATTAGACTGTCTATTCTGGAGAATATTGTGAGGCTCACCTTTGCTAAAATACCATTAATTAGACCAAACAGAAATATTATTGCCTTGTCTTTGAGAGAGAAAATGGATTTTTAAAGAGACAGTACAATATTGTCTATTTTTTATGGGAAAATATGGATTGGATGATAGAATTCCTGAACTCTGGAACAGGAAATAAGTGTAGTATAGCCCTCTCATATTCTAAATGAGTTTAAGATTAGTTAATTGACTTGACAAGGTCAGGGCAAAGCTTGAGTCAGAATCATGTTCATAGGAATCTCAGTACATTCTTCTATTTACACATCACAATCTCTTCCCTGCAGGACAGTTGGATGAATTTATTTATTGGTGATTGAAAAGTTAAACCCAGATACTGATCAGATCAATTTCAACTTGGAGACAGATCTCTAAAGGACCAGGCTTTACTTTAGTCAATATTTTCTTCAACAAAGTGGATAAAGATCTATAAGAAATACCTATGAAACTTTCAGATGATATAAACTGTAGTAGCTATAACCTACTATACTGACCTAAAAAGAGTTAGGATTCCAAATCTAATTAAGAGACTATAATTTTAGGCTAAAACACAAAAATTTATGGGAGTAATTGGAAAGCATATACATTAAAATGTATAATAAGTATAGGACAGGGAAAACTTGGTTTGGTAGCAGTTCGTGAGAAAAAGGCCTGGAAATTTATAGGAGCCAATGAGTAATGCAAAAGAACTTAAAAAAAAAATCTATACATATAAAAGCCCAGCGACTGGAACGGCAGAATGACCAGAACCACCAATGGCTATGATGTGCACTGTGGCAGCCAACCAGCCTGATCCAGGCCCCGATTGCCCCAACCCCCCGCCCGCCCAGCCGTCTGCGGCTCCTCCCTCCCCTGCACCTCCCACCTGGCCTGATGGGCCCCCATCGGAGCAGCTGCCAGACCCCCACCCATGCACGAATTTGTGCACCAGGCTTCCAGTGTTTAGTCTTTGGAGGCAAGAAGATAGAAGAGGCAAGATGGGTTGAGGACGTAGATATGGGTACAATTTGAAGAAAGCCATGAGACAAAGCTTTAAGCTGTGGAATCTAAATCTTTTCCTAGAAATCAAAAGAAGCTAATACATAGCTTGAGAGTATCCCTACTAAACTGGACCTTGCTTCCTTCCTGCTGTTCCACCTCATCATATACCTGGAGCATTCTGCTCTCATGTTTGCAGTGTCTGCAGAGCACCTTTCCTCTCTGCTCACCTTAATTCTATCTTTTTAAAAATATATATATTTTATTGATTTTTTACAGAGAGGAAGGGAGAGGGATAGAGAGTTAGAAACATCGATGAGATAGAAACATCGATCAGCTGCACACCCCCTACTGGGGATGTGCCCGCAACCAAGGTACATGCCCCTGACTGGAATCGAACCTGGGGCCCTTCAGTCCGCAAACCGACACTCTATCCACTGAGCCAAACCGGTTAGGGCTTAATTCTATCTTTTGTTAAAACTTAGCTCCAGTCCCATCCATTTCTCAGCCAGTTCCCCTGTGAACTTCTTTAGCATTTATTTAACTCGAATCCTATATTATCTTTTAGTTTGTTACTTTTCTTATTTTTTAATTAATTTTAGAGAGGAAAGGAGAGGGAGAGAGAGATAGAAACATCAATGATGAGAGATCAATCATTGATCGGCTGCTTCCTGCACACCCCCTACTGGGGATTAAGTCTGCAACCCAGGCAAGTGCCCTTGACCAGAATCGAGCCTGGGACCCTTCAGTCCACTGACCTGACGCTTTATCCACTGAGCCAAACTGGCTAGGGCTAGTTTGTTACTTTTATATAATGATTATTAAATTGGTGATACTGGTGGCAACAGTGACAAATGGCATTGGCGATATATAAGAATTAACTGAGAATAATAAACTTTGAGCTGAGGGACTCATTTCTAAGAACATATAAATGTTAACTGTAAAAGCTAAAGAATGAAGTCGTTTGGAAAAAACACTATTATTGCTTGGAAATTTGGTTTAAATAAAAACATCTTTAGAGCCTAAAATTATAGCCTCTTAATTATCTTAGAGCAAAAGGGGCAACATATAAAAATCCGAGTCCCAGGGTACTAAATGACTTTGCCCATGGCTACTAAATGAGAGTGAAATTTGATTCCCAGTGTACTGGGTCCTACACTATGTCTATCAGATACGGCTCTTTGGAGTTTAAGTTGTAAGAAACAACTTAAGTCCATCCGGTGTAGCTCAGTGATTGAGCATTGACCTACCAACCAGGAAATCATGATTTGATTCCCCATCAGAGCACATGCCTGGGTTTCAGGCTCCATCCTCAGTAGGGGGTATGCAAGAGGCGGTCAATGATTCTCTCTCAGCATTGATGCTTCTATCCCTCTCTCTGAAATCAATAAAACATATTTTAAAAATAACAACAACAATAACAAAAAACAACAAACAACTCTGGATGATTTAAACAAATGGAATATTGTTTGCTCAACACATCTACTTAATGTCTATTCACCAAGTGCTCATTATGTGGAGATATAACAGAAAACAAAGTCCCTACTGTCATTGTAGTTGGGGGACAGGCAACAAACAAATGCATAAATATATTATGTTTCAGGTGCTAAAGAAGAAAAACAAAGAGGAATAATTCAGATGTTAGAGAAGAAAAATAAAGAAGGAATCTGGTAGAGGAGAGGATGCTATTTTATTTTACTTTATTTTATTTATTATTATTATTATTTTAATCCTCACCCAAGGATGTTTTTCCATTGATTTTTAGAGAGAGTGGAAGAGAGAAACACGTTGATTGATAGCTTCCTGCACGAGCCCAGACCCAGGGCCCAGGCTGGGGAGGAGCCTGCAGCCGAGGTATGTGCCCTTGATCGGAATCGAACCCAGGACCTTTCAGTCCACAGGCCGATGCTCTATCCACTGAGCCAAGCCAGGCAGGGCAAGGATGATTTTTTAGGTGAGGTAGTTGAGGAAGCCTATCTGCTAAGTAACATTAAGTGAAGACCTGATTGGAGCGAGGAAACGGGTCACGTGGGGGCCTTGCAGAAGAGCATTCCGGGCAGGAGGAACAGCAGGCTAAAGGCCCAGCCACAGGAGTGTGCTCCCCATTTTGAAGAAGAATAACAGGGAGGCATTGTGGCCAGCGCAGAGTAGCAAGTGAGGAAGTGATAGGAGACAAGGTTAGAAAGACAGCAAGCAGGGCCAATCACAGAGACCTGAGAGGAATTTTGCATTTTATTTTGAGTAAGATGAGAAGCCATAGGATGGTTTTGAGCAGAGGAGTGACAGGATCCTGACTTATGATTTTACAAGATCGCTGTGTGGCGACCGGACTCTGTGGCAACAAAGTTGAAAGCAAGGAGAAGGCTAAGAGGTTATTGCAGTAATCCCGTGAGGGACAGTGGCAGCTGGGGCCAGGGAGGGCAAGGAGGGCTAGGCACATCCAGAATTCCCTGATGGATTGGGGGATAGCCTTACAAAGAGGACCATGATGCAGCCACAGAGTTCGGGCCTGAGCAACCAGGAGAAGCAGTTGGACAGGTCGCAGGATTTCCTGGAGACTCGAGCTCTGAAAATGAGCATAAATGAAGAGGAGGGAGGAAGTGTGACCACTGATAAAATCTTACCACAGAGCCAATCTGATGAAGCCTCGCCTCCTGCCAGCACTGGACACCACATCCCACCCTGGGCTGGAAACTGGATACTGCTGTTGCTGGAATAAATTCTGTTTTCCTGCTTCTGTCTCTGCGTTGATTTTTCCTGAGTCAGAATCCCAGGTGGGCATGTCCAGCGGGCCGTGCTCAGCTCACACACCTATGCTCTGGCTGCCACAGGCGCTGGGAGGCATGCGGTCCTTTCACTTCTATGGCAGGACATAGCTTTATACTAGAGTTAGAATGGTTAGGAATTTTAT